ATTTCACATATACATGTTACAGTTCACTAAAGTGTGCTTTCACGTACCATTTAAGGAGTGCTGTCACACTAAAAACTAATTTCTTCCTTGAGAAAATAAGTAAGATTTAGGAGCTCAATCAAGGATTATTACCTTCAAAAATGATAATATCCAGTAACAGAATGCAAAATATGTGAACACACAATATGCTTGCTGTTTTGATATTACATGTGCTTTAATCTTTTTTTCTCCCTCTGGACTTTAGTGGGATGAAGCACTCTTGACTATGAGTAAAGGGGAAAAAGCTCGACTGGAGATTGAACCAGAATGGGCTTATGGAAAGAAAGGACAGCCTGATGCCAAGTATCCTTTTCTCCTTCATAATTAAAAGAAAAACACACCAGGAAAATGAGCTAAAGGTGTTCAGAAAGGCGCTGTCTAGGCCAGGCCTGCAGACCAGGAGTCCTGTCTGGCATAAGCTTGATATGCACATGTTCTGTTGGCTCACCCAGTAGACATCTTTCCCTTCCTTTTTCCTCTTCCACTTTCTCTCTTGCTGTTATTGCCTAGGCCAACATCAGACTCCTGGGCTCAAATGTCTTTCTACCTCAGGTTCCCAATTAAGCTGGGACAACAGGAGAAACTGAAGTGGGTTCTTTTTTTTTTTCCCACCTGCTTACTTGAGTTCTGATTTTTGACATCTTACTCAGTGCACAGTCAAGCTTTCACTATTAAAATACGATTTAATATATGTAGGTTTTACTCCAATGAAGTTAGAATACCCAATATAATGGTAGTATGCAGTACTGAGCAAATATAGCTCATAGTAATTTTATGCTACAGTATAATTTATGGCAGGTGAATAGGCAGAGCTTAGAAATAGAACACAATGGGAATTATCCATTATGAAATGAAGACTACAGCACCATAGTGTCAGTAAGCATTTATTAATACTAGTAACAGTACTTCACTGATAGGTTCAGTTGTGAACACTTAAAAAGTAATGATGCCAGCCCAGGTCAGACCACAAGCCAACAGGTACATAGGAAGATAACGGACAGCTGTCATGGGTTACATTCCTGTTTGCCAGGTTAGTGTTTTTTTTCTTTTGAGGGTAGTGTTTAGAAATCAGTTTTACCAGTTAATGCTTAAAAAATAGTTCTCTCAAAACTGGATGAATGGCTGCAGCTGCCTCTCCTGTGTTGAGCACTTTCAAGACCAGTACGGTGCACATAAATCCTCTGAACTTAACATCTTTAAATTCATAGTAAATATGTACTAATTTCCCACAAACTTCAACTTTAATACAACATCTGGTCAGTAGACTCACATTTTTTTTTTTTCCTTTTTTACTGCTGAGTAGCAGCCTTCATAAACTGGTGGCTAGTTTAGCATCATAGTTGAACCTCAGCTGACCTTGTTAGCCTACTTCTCTTTAGAGACAGCCAAGTATGTGGTACATAATAAGGCTGTTGCTTACTAAGAGAGTAGGGGAGAGATACTTTTCATCAAAATTTGCCTTGACTTTTTCAACAGAATTCCGCCAAATGCAAAACTCATTTTTGAAGTAGAATTAGTGGATATTGATTGAAACAGCAAGACTTAAGATCTGAAGACATCAGTGTGATTAAAACTTGGCCTTGAAACTTAAGTAACTAGAACTTGTTATTATTGTAAAGAATCAACTGGAAATTTCAGAGAGTTAAGTAAAACTTACTTGATCACATTTTTTGAGAAATGTAATCCCTTATAAATCCCTGAGTCTAAAGTATTTTACTATAGCTGTGTGAAAAACTGATTAAGGAAAACTGTATTTCCTTTTACCTCATGTTGTGAAACTGAAAAGTTCAATTAAAATATATCCACTGTCTTGATTCGATGTTCGGTATTAATGTTCTGATCAGGTAAGGATGACTGTTGACCTCCAACCAGGAAATACAGTAATGAATAATAAAACTGGACATTCTGGGTAGGATACCATCCTGAAGTATTTAAATATTCTATGTGGAAAGAAGTCAGAAGTCATAAAACTTGAAAAAAAACCAGAAAGCTTAAAAGGGCCATCAGGTCTTAGCAAGAAGATAATTAAACTTAGGGAATGTCTGCTTCTAAACCAAGAGCAAGTAACAGTGTTAAATAGGAAGTTAACATTAGGTGCCCCCCAGAAAATAAATTCATGAAAACAACTGCTGGATGAATCTTCAGTTTTATTACAAAAATGAAGATGATCAGTTTGATCAAAATGAATGCTTGCTCACAAGTTTTACATGAATATTCTAAATACAAAGTCTCCTGGAACAACATACTTTTGATATGATTCTCATTTAAAGGGATGCAAACATTTCATTTTCTCATTTATAATCTATCTCAAGGCATAGTGTTGTCATAGTGTCTTTTCTGCAGTTAGATCCAAATTCACATGTATTACTGAAACACTCAAGACAACCTTGTCAGCAAAGATTAAAAATCAGCTTTGTTTTTACAGAAGAGGTAAATCCTTAATAGCCAGCCCTTATGTTTTCAGAATCTTGTACTGTATACACTGACATGATTGGCAGTCAGTTTTTGTCCTACACTTAAGGCTATAAAACTTTTGCAAATGCACTGCAAAAGAATTCTAGACCACTTAATGCAAAAAAATAAAAAAAATAGTTCTCCAATAAAAAGTAAATTTTATAAATGGTAGGAAATAGTATCTGATAAGCTACTAATTGACATTTTCCTCTAGTAAATGTTACACAGAAACAGGGGAGACAAATTATCAAATAAAACAGGCTTATGCTATGTTTACATCCCTCGTTTAAAAAATAATTTCACGCTTTTCACATACTCCATCAGAAATGTACACTTTCCCATCAGGTTGGAGGGGGAGGATAATACTGTCCGTAATTCCAAGGGTTCTGATAATTGTACTGAAAAGGAAAAGCACACATTAGCATAGCAGTAGGCCGGCCAGGTTTCAAACACCAAGGTTAAAGCAACTATAAGAAAATACGCCTGTGTTCATTATTGCAATTCAAAGTTAACTGCAAATGGCAAAGTACTGCACGTTGTGGAACAAAGCTAAAAGGTTGCTTTTACTTTTTTTTTTTTTTTGGCGGAGCCAGGGATTGAACTCCAGCCCTAGCACTTGCCAGGGAAGCGCTTATTCTACTGAGCCATCTCCCCAGCCCCTGCTTTTACTTTTAAAAGAGTACCTAAAATATGCTTCTGATTAAATGTATGAATAAAAATTATGTGGACTCACTTGATACCAGGCACTGTAATTATATGCAGCTTGATTTGCTTGTAAATCACCATCAATCATCTGTGTAGATGACGAAGTTGTATCTTCCGTGTGTACTTTCTTTTCTTCTGGTTCTTCTGATCTATATAAAAGATCAAAATGGAAACTTTGAGGACCTCCACAGATAGGAACTTTATTAGATGTCTATCACCTGCAGTTTTACTGAACATTAATTTACTTTTGGTGGTGGAGGAGCTATTCTGGCAGAAGCAGAATAAAAAAGCGAAAATGATGGACTAGAAGGCACTTAATGAAAAATGTACAGCTGGACAAATTCTTAAGAGGCTGAAACCTAAACTCAACAATTTACCTTCCTTTTTTATGTAAAGACGTCTCCTGCATCTTTGCACCACAATGCATGTGACCTCTAATACCCATAACAGCAATCTATATTATCAGCCCCACTCCCCTCTTCAGCAAACCCTCAACAGTCCACCAACCTCCAGTGAGATGGTCACAACCCTTCACTGGTACAGCCCCCAGAAGACATTCAGGCTCAGTTCCCACTCTACAAACCTACGATCTCTTGCCTATACCAGGAAGGACAAAAAAGCCTGGGATCTGGATGTGACCTGCAGTTACTCTGTTCAGCTTGAATGATGTTTGCAAGAAAACACTTCTGACTTAATAAAAATCATTACATACAGTGTACATACTTGTTCCTAACTTCAACTGGGGCTGGCAGTCATGCCTTAGATGGAACAGACATCACCAAGGCAGTAGTGTATGGCATTGCCACCTGCCAGCCTTGAATTTACAATCCTTGCTCTGTGACTGTCATTCCCTCAATTTGCAAGGCTCACGGCCTAGTTCTATGCTCATCCTAATGGCTGTCCGCCGTGGCTTGTACCCGCTCCAGGTTCAATGGAGGTGCTTCAATATCAGAGTTTGCGATTCATTTTAGTATTTTTTTTCTCAAATTATGAGAACATCTAAACCAACATGACAGAATAGTAACGCTTTCGTCTCTTTGGCATGTTCCCACGTGCTTACGACACCAACGGTAGGTCCATGCACAGCTCGCAGGCCAACGAATGACAGCCCCTCGTGAACAGTTAGGAGTGTTCCACAATTAAATGTCCTCCCAAGCAGTCCTCCCTGATTTAGCAAGAAGTTACATACCCATTTTCTGCTTTTCTTTTTAAACTATCTTGTTCTTTTAGGAGTGTCTGATGTTCATCGTAAGCATTCAAAAGCCTGAGAAGAAAAAAAATCCTCTGGAATAAACCAAAACCAAAACTTTTTAAAATACAATTTTAAGTTGTTTCTATTCAGAGAAACAATGTGTAAATTTCTAAATGACTTATTTTCCTCACTTTTTAATTTTCAACTTAAACAATCTTAGTTCTGATCCTCAGACTCTGTATGTGTAACTACAAGGGCCTTACCACCTTTGTGTTAAACTGCCAATTTGTCTATTACTGCCAATCCAACTATGTCATCTAATTGTATGGTCCAAATTCCAAAGCTCGCTAGTGGTAATGATCACTGTGTGTGTGAATTAAAGGCACACAAGTCAAGATTATATTTGCAGGATAGAGGTGTAGCTTAATGATAAATTAATCCTCCAGAAAGATACTAAAAAAAAAAAAAAAAAATTCCCATTTCCAGTACCTCACAAAACCCTCCAAGTAAATGTAACTTTTATATGGACTTTACTTGCACCACTGTGCCCTCTCCCCAGCTCTTAAGAATCCAGTAGCCACTAAAAATGAGGCTCTACCTTTACTTCAAAATATGACAAACCTAAACATAGTAGTATTACCATGCCGGCATGGTAGTACATGCCCAGAACTGTACTCTGGCAAGCTCAGGCAGGAAGACTTCTTAAAAATCTTTTTGAGACAGGGTTTCACCACACAGTGCAGGCTGGCCTTGAAGCTCACTTTGTAGCCCAGGCTGGGCTTGAGCTTGCAGCAGTCCTCCTGCCTCAACTTCCTCAAGTGCTGGGATTACAGGCATGCACCACCACACTCAGCCCAAGGAGGATTTAAATTGAAACCCAGCCTGGGCAAGACCTTGTTATCAAAAAATAAAATATTAACAACCACAAAAACTAAAGGGCTGGATGTGCTCAGTACAAAAGGCCCTGGTTAAATCCCCAATACCAGAAAAAGAAAAAAATAGAAACATGGCAAATTCATTCTTTTTTTTTTTTTTTTTGTAGTACCTGGACTCCAACTCAGAACCTGTGCCTACTAAGTAGGTTCTTATGCCTGTGAGCTACATTCCCAGCCCCAAATCCAGTCATTCACTTAACATAACACACAAGTGCATTATTTCCTCTAATAATACCATCATGAATAGTATCATCCAACTAAAAGGTGAATTATGGATCTAATTCCTATTATATGCCTTCTTCAACACAAAGTATACAAAAGACATAACACATAACATGTGAGGTAGTTTAAGAAACCGAGACTTTGAGGTAGGTTCTCATACTCAGCCCATAAATCAACAGTCAAGTAAACTCAGAAAAATGGCCTAATCTCTGTTTAACTATTCACAAAACAGAACCTTTATTTACTATGCTGCTATAAATTTTACATTAGAAGACTATAACAGCATGATGCCAAGCACCTAAATATTAGTTCTGTATTAGTTTACCTGAAATCTTAGTCATCAAAAAATATACATGGAGGCTCAGAAGAATTTTTCAATTACTATGGAAATCACCTTAAATTAGAACAGACCAGGCATATGCTTAACAGGCTCTGGGGATATTTTCTTACTAGAGTAAGACTAGCACTTCAGCAATACACCAGCTAGAATTTCTATTTATCTGTTTACTAGAAAATATAAAATCTTAAACTTGTTTTTCTAAATCTATAGCAAATCCTTCTATCAGCTTCATTGTTCAGCCTTTTAATAATGCAGAAAAGTGAGGCCAATTAAACATGATCTATGGACCACATACTCTCTGCCCCAGTCTCTGATAAAATGGCATGCCTAGTCCAGACCAACCCACCTGCGTCTCTGTAGTGACCTCCACACTGAATCCCTGTGTTCCATGGCACCATCTTTGTCTCATTTCCTGTTTCATCATATTGTTGTTTCCTGCCTTCTCTCATTAACTATGGTGTTCTTGTTGTTTTGCGGAACCGGGGGTTGAACTCAGGCCTTTTTTTTTTTTTTTGGCAGAACGGGGATTGAACTCAGGCCCTTGCGCTTGCCAGGAAAGCGCTTATTCCACTGAGCCATCTCCCTGGCCCCCTCAGGCCCTTTTATTCTACTGAACAAATCTCCCCAGCCTGTTTTGTTTTTTAAATTTAGTACAGGGTCTACAAGGTCTCATTACGTAGAGTCTCATTACGTAGATCAGACTTGTAGTGATCCTCCTGTTTTCAGCCTCCCAAGCGTTGAGTGCCACCCACCCAATCTCAATTGCCATGTCAGCATGCCCAGGGGGCAGGGCCGACATGCCGGGGATTGAACCCCAGCCTCTGTACTTTGCC